CTCTTAACGGTTCCTGGGACTAAACGCTATCTCCTCAGAGGTAATAGTTGTCCTCCCAGCTTTCCAACTAGCTATGTCTTTTTTACCTGGAGTCAATATAACTTCGCTCCAATTCTCATCACCCAAAGGTTTGCCTGGTGTACTTCGGTTGGATTCATCAATGGTTGTGAAACCTCTAAGACAAAGGTTTGAGCAAGACACTCTTCTGAACGTTCCATATACACTACACGTTTTCTTTAAGACCATTCAGCCTTATGTTCATACAGGAACTCAGGTGCAATAACCAGCGATGCTCACTTCTCACCTTCGAGTGTGGCACTGGAGTCACGTCATTTGCACAATTAAAATTAGCTGGAGCGTGTCACCACTGTCTGAGGCTAGAATCTCCGAGACTCGGTTGGCGACAAAATTCTTGTAATTCCTCGACTAATCCTTTATCCAGAAAACGACTTCCTTATTGGCTTTCCATAGATAGATAGATAGATAGATAGATAGACAGATAGACAGATAGATAGATAGATGGTTTATTTATAGTCACATTGCAACCATGAGGTTGAATTAGGCGATTATTTACAAATAATTATGATTACCACTAATAAGCTAATCTATAAAGAAAAGCGAAAGAAGCGAATAACTGACAAACAATACATGAATACACTACAGTAAAATTGTGATTTGTTAAAAAAAAAAAGATTAAAAAAACGAAATCGACATGATAAAAAGCAATCGAAACTATACAGGTGCCTCTGAGCTTTCTTGATAATGGAGTCAATGTGAGAGTTCCATTTCAAATCACTAGAGACATTGAGGCCTAGTATTTTGGCAGTGGCAACTATTTCGATAGCCATGCCGTCAACTACAACGGGGTTGAAAGACGTAGTATTCTTAGTGCTAAAGTTTATGCACAGTTCCTTGCATTTCGTCTCGTTTAGTTGAAACTTTTCCAAGGAAGCGCGGGTTGACCAGGGTGTCGAAGGCGGCCTGGATGTGACTGTCTTGGTTCTTGCTTATTGTCTCCGAGATGGTCGTATCGTCGACGTATTTCCAGAGATCGTTGGCAGGAGCATCAAGCTCGTTGATCATGATGGACAGCCATTTGGCCCCAAATTTTTGTGCCTTGGGGAACCCCCGCCGGTACAACACCCCATTCTGAGAAGCAGTCATGGCCAAGTTGAATTCGCTCTTAACTGGTCGTTTTGATGCACTGCAGCGGCGGCTCATTGTCCTTCCATGGAATAGCCATCTCATAGCGCCCCTCAGCACAGCGCGTTGACTCTGCCGTTTTGCGCGCACCAAGCACCTCTTTTTTTGTCAAGGGCTTGTTTCGATAAGTGATTACACAACTTAGTCATCCCACATCTTCCTTATGAACTCACTGGCCCTCAAGGATGCATAGAATGTGTAGACGTGGTTCGCAGCGGACACTCGTTTGCTACTTCCAAGATGTGACCAATGAATGTCCATCCGATGGTTGTCAACCCCTACAGGCTCCTGCGGCTTTCCTATGCCAAATTCAAGGGGTAAAAGCAGTTTCTCAAAATAATCACTTCCAACAAATAAATCAACTTATCCATGTTCAACTTGCGTTATGAACTCCAAATCGCAAAGATGATTTAGCTTCCTTGCATTAGGAGGCAAATCATGCAACTACAGTTATTTCAGAAATTTTCGGGGTTATCCATAGAAACAAGTGCTTCTTAACGCTTCCATGCATAATCTATAGGCACACAGTGACAGTTTTCCTATCCGTCACAATCGACCCCGCTCCAAAAACAGCAAAACGCAGTGGTCTACTCTCAGCGTCCGAGCTCAATAAATCAAAGATCTGCTCTTTAAGGTAGGACGACCCAGGAGAACTAAGAAAGGCGCTTGCTTTGATCATTATCCCATTTTCTCCCTCCAATACAACGGGTACCATTTTCAAGGCAACCTTTTCAGGGTTTCGAGGTGCACTCGCGGCTTCTTCAGGCACTCCACAGATTCTGCGATTAGCTTTCCCCATTTGTTGACGTGTCTCCTGTATCTTCTTGGGGGGTTAAAATGTCTAACTGCGATGGCTCTATGGCTGCATGAAGATGTAGGTGGTGTCGTCGCACCCACCCTTCTACTGGATACGTTCCTCACTCCCTTACAATGAGCACCATTAAGCTCAATGTTCTCTTTTGAGGCACCAAAAGCACAAACCCAACTTCTTCGCCAATTACAATCGTTAATGCACATTTGATGTCTTTGCACACAAAACATTCCACTCTAGCTCCTGAATTTGCACGAATCTCGTTACACGCATCCCGTTTTGTATGTTTCCTTGAACCACTCTGATTTGTTTGAATTTGACTTGGTTTTGTTTTGGCCAGGATTTGCTTTAGTACTGCCACAACCAACAGCCATCTCTTGGACCTGATTCTCTGTTTCCAGCCACTCATCAACATGTAGGTCGGTAAGGACAAATTCCTTTATCTAGCCTGCAGTGCAGGCGTATTTTGGGTGGGCGAAACCTTGTTCGTGTTCGTAATATTGTTGTAGCTGCCATCTTTGATTTTATGACAGTGGAAGATTGGGGAGAGTAGAAGTAGTAACCCTTACGGTAGGAGCTAGGGCGAAAGAAGGAAAGGGGGGAGGGGGAGGGGAGAAAAAAAATACGCCTGCCCGATATCATTGTTCTTTTGGGAAACTCCGTACGCTGGCAAACGGAGCTCCTGATTGGTGCGGTAAGGGAAGTAGATTGATGCCTGTCAATTGACTGTAAGTCTATATTTTTTATTCCGTTTCCGTCAGTCTTTTGGAATTGGAGCGGCTGGGAATGTCGCGTGTATTACGCAATTAGAAAGTCAAAGCGATTTTTACACTGGTCATCAGGACAAGATTTGTTCGCAGTACCTACACCACTTTTACCTCATGCCAAAATGCTGCTTGTTCCAATACGTTTTTTTTTTCAGGCGAGTAGATGCTCTCTACAGGGTTCTATGTTTTGACAGAGCAAATGTGATTTTAGCCGCTTGTTTCACACTGAGAGGTCAAGACACGCTTATTGATTTTCTGTGGTGTTTCTGGTCTTCATGATTTGCCCTCTGATGCCAGACGTTTTCTTTAACCTCTTTTGAAGCGTAACGCTCTTTTTTCGCTAAATGAGGCTGTTAGGTTCTTTATTTTTGTCCAAAGTGTCTCAGGATCTGAATAACTAATCGATTTTCTTATTAGTCCGAGAATGTGATGTTTTCCTGCAATGTTGTATCACGCTGGGCCCAGCTCGTTAGGTTTTTAAATTGTTTGTAGGATGTTAAACTCTCACGGATAGCGATTTACAGAGATGAATTTAGAAGAATGAATTGCAGCTTAAACTGAAGCTTCATCAGCTGTGGAGAATTGCATTGTGACTCGGTCAAGATAAAAACAATGATAAACTCCAGCTTGTTTTTCTTAAGACAATGCGAGTCTTTGGACTGGAGCGACTGTTTGGTTGTTTTGTTATTGTCGGCTCCTCATTTCCGGAAGAGCCGTCACGCGCGTCTAATTAGGGGGTGTTTCTCATTTTCACAGTGTTTTCGGGCAGGCGTTTTCTCTTCTCTCTCCGCACTCCCTCCCCGCTCCCTTTGACTCGCCCTATCTCCTCCTCTCTTCGGGAAGTTTCAACATCGCGCTTTCGCGAGCAAATTGCGCGCTCAAAGAAAACGCCTGCACTGCAGGCTATCCTTTATCTGCAGCTCTGACTTTCGCGTGCTACGCCTTACAGCAATTTTCGGAGGCAGTTTTTTAATAATCTGCTGCATATTAGCTGCTGATCGCAAATCTGCTTCAAGGTCTTCAACGTTCTCACAATGTTGGGCAAAGTGTCGACACAGGATCTCAAGCTTGAGGTGTTTTCATTCTGAACTGCTGGTATCTGCAGAACTTTATTGATCGATTAGTTCTAGTCCCACACGTGGGGGTAGCGCCTGTTGCTTACAAGTTCAGGTTGATCGCGTGCCCAGGCTTTGGAAAAAGGGTGCACTGTACCAGGTGGACATCCTAGTCACCCTATTGGCAGTTTAATAATCATTTTAAATTTGTAAACAGACATTGCACCGAGTTTATTGGAAAACATATTTTGGTTAAACTCTGTATTTTTATTCAAAGGTAGGTCTCTTATACTTTCTGGAATGGTCTCTCCCGTCAGAAAAAAAAAACATTTAGTTTCTAAAAGCGAAAATAGAGATGGAAAGAAGCAAACAGAAAATGTCTCTTTTTTCGTAAACCTTTAGCCTTATGTTAAACCCAGCTAACAATTCTGTAAAGAGTTCTTGATTATATCAAAAATGTTTTTTTGTCACCAGTTAGGTTGATATAAAGGAATTTCATTTTCGATACGTTTGAATAAGGTTCAACAAATTTTTAACGTGACATTAAGACACAGAACCGGAAAATTTAACACAAAAAAAAAACGACGGGAATCTATTTTTTTTTACCTCTTGATTAATTCCCAAATAAGAATTTCTGCTGCATTCAAAATATGCTGAAGGGGTCTCTAGTTATTTTAAACAACGTTATTTTGCGTTTTAAGCTGTGCGTTGAGATTTCCTTTGTGTTCATCTACTTATTGAGTTGGGCGCAATAAAAAGTTCTCCTGTTTGAATCATCAGTCAAACAACATGGCTCAGACAATGCAAAACGCGCAGAATTCACGAAGTTATGCGTTTTTCCGAGTTCAGCTAGCTTTAAAAAAATGTTTTTATAACAAGACTAAATGTTCTAGTGAACGGAAATGCATTTATCATCGGTTATCACCATTTCTTTGCGGTGTTACATGGTATGCTGTTCTATTGCTTCATTAGCGGGAGGCTATATATATTTGAGTTGCTCTCATCTATATTCATTCGCGTCTTAAGACCGTCCCTACGCCCTCAAAATTATGTCTGATGTTGAAGACGTTACCTTAGCGAACACAGATTTTCGTAGCAGCGACGTTTAATTTGTTCCCTTCGCTTCCTAAACAACCCTCTATCTTGTCTCAATCACTCGAAGCTTCAGTACCAATCCAGTCTTCAGAATCCAGTAATATAGCTTCCGCGTTCTCTCTGTTTAAGGATTATTTCGACAAGAAGTTGGGCGCCTTGAAGCGCGATATTCAAGACGAGTTGTGCAGTAATACCGATTCTGTAGCCAAAAAGTTCAAAGAAGAATACAAGATCACATTTAGATTCGAAGGTAATAAGAAACAGTTTCAATTCAACTCCGACCTTGCAGCGAAGGTAAAGTCGGCGTCAGCTGCCCTCGGAAAGAGAAAATTAGACCTTGTTAAAACTCATGATCACGTGGAAGAACTAGAATCTGACATCAAGAAGCGCATTAAACGTATCAGACTGAAAGACAAGTCCGCCGCCGGTTGGGATTTGGTGAACGAGTATTTATCTGACGAACTGGCTAGCGGGTCAGAGGTCGAGCAGAGGGCCCTTCGTAAACGCAGCCAACGCCAACAGAAAGTGAAGCCATCCAAGCAAGGTTATTCACAACTCCAATCATCTACCGCAACCACTGCGTTTTTTGGCCAACATTAATCATCCTCCAGACCTATTTCTTGTACTCTTGGCGCTTTCAGCAAACCAAGACCAAGTGATATTTGTTTCGCCTGCGGCCAGCAAAGTCATTGGAGGTCTCTGTGTCCAGTTAATCCTCAAGCCAGATCTTCAAGCTCCGGGCCGTCCTTTCCTAGTTCTTTTGGTCTTTCGGGCACTGGAGTTAAATAGGACCACAGAACTGTCTCGATACAGTCTTTAGGCAAGAAGAGGCTTATTCTGGACTTACGTCATGTCAATCATTTCATTTGGAAACAGAAGTTTGGGTGTGAAGATTGGAGAGTTTTATTATCATATGTTAATAAGGGCGATTACCTTTTCAGTTTCGATCTCAAGTCTGGGTATCACCATATCGATATTTTTCCGGATCACCAAACTTTTCTGGGTTCTCCTGGTTTTTTTCTGGTGCCGTTCGGTATTTTTGTTTTGCATCACTTCCGTTCGGTCTTAGCTCAGCTCCATACGTCTTCACCAAGTGTCTTAGAGCACTCGTTAAGTGTTGGAGGTCTAAAGGGATTAAAATTGTTGTGTACCTCGACGATGGGTGCGGAAAAGGGGATTCACTGCCTATGGCCAAGGAAAATTCATTGTTTGTGCAATCATCCTTAAGCAGTGCAGGGTTTGTTGCCAACTCCGCCAAATCACTATGGAGCCCCACCCTTTTGCTTGTTTGGTTGGGTTTAAACTGGGACTTAGTTACCGGTACCATTTCTATTACCGACAGACGTATTTCCGAATTTATCGTTCTGATTGACAAATTTCTTCTATCCGCACCTTATGTTACGGCTCGGGATTGTGCCGTTATCGCAGGTCATGTTATGTCCATCAGGGGCACCCAAAGGCAATTTTCGGGAAAATATCTGTTCGGAAGACGATTTGAGATCTAGAATTTTCGGATCATTTGTTGTAAAATTTCTTGCTTGCCTGCCTCTCCTAGGATTTTCGAACATCTACAAAATGGTATAATTACTCATTTTTAACGGATTTTGGAACTAAAAAAGGCCACCTATAAATTTTCGGGAGCCTTTTCCTGGCTGAAATTTTCGAGAAGGTAAGTTTTTATCCCTATAATTTTCGGATCACTAGATTTTCAGCTAGGAGATCCGAACAGATGAAAAGTTTTTAGGGGATAAAAATATGCCTATATCTACCGTTTGAATGCTAAAATACGTTCAACAATGCTATGTTAAGTGGTTTTGAACTATATCCTCGTTGGGTGCCCCTGGTCCATGTAGCCAGTTTTGGGTAACCTGACTCGTCTCAAAACCCGTTTTCTTTACGAGGTCATAGAATCCCGCCATAGTTGGGATTCCCGTTTTAATATCGGGCTTCATAATGATTGCCTCTCTGAAATATTTTTCTGGAAAAACAATATCGTTAGTCTTAATAAGAGACCTATTTTGCCTTATTATCCTCCCCTTTTGTTTAACTATACGGACGCTAGCAACGGGGCTTTTGTTGTGGGCACTAATGTGGTGTCCCATCGTATGTGGACTGCTGGTGAAGCAGCTAAGAGCTCTACCTGAAGAGAACTTAAGGCTACACAATTTGCCTTAAGTGCATTCAAAGCCTTGGTTCTGGGTAAGAGTGTAAAGTAGCATTCTGACAGCCAAAGGGACCGTTCGTGCTGTGGAGATAGGGAGCCCTAGTGCAGGATTGCATTATATTGCGCTTGATATTTCTATTTTTGTCAAACTTACAATATTACACTTATTCCCCAGTGGGTTCCCAGGGAACGTAATGCTTGTGCTGATGCGATTAGCCACATTTTAGACTTCGATGACTGGTATACAACCGCCGAGTTCTTCGCACACTTGGACCGCCTTTGGGGCCAACATACAGTCGACAGGTTTGCGAATGCTGCCAACGCCCATCTTCCCAGATTTAATTCTAGGTTTCGCGTACCCGGCACTGAAGCTGTTGACGCATTTTCAATCTCGTGGAATGGAGAGAATAATTGACTATTCCCTCCCGTCCACTGCATTACTGGGGCAGTTCAGCATCTCCTTTTATGCGGTGCGGTTGGTACTTGAGTCGTCCCTTATTGGCCGTCTAATGTGTTTTGGCCTTTCTTGTTCGCGAATGCAATTCAATTCCAACCGTACGTCCCCGCGTACATTAATTTTCCCGACCCCGCAGGGATTTTTTCCCTCGGGCGTTACAAAGATTCACTCATTGGTTCAGACAGGTTTAACAGCGCGGTCCTGGCAGTCAGAACTGGCGCCAAGGGGCTTTAGTTCTTTCACGCCGAGTGGCTTTATGTTGACCCACGCGTTTTTCATTTCGCTCGTCAGTTCATTTGTTCTTGTTTCGCATGAAACTAGCTCGCCGAGTGGCTTGTTTACCTTTGTTTTTGAGTTGGCCCATATAGCTTAAATAGTTTTACATCCGGTTAGCGGCATTATCAAGCGTCCATTTTTTTTATCTGTATCAGGGCGTAATAAGCTAGGGCGTTGAAACGAGCCGTGTCGAGCGATCTAGCTGTGATGCAAGGGTCTGGGTACTACCAAAGAGACAAAACAAGATGTCAGACATTATGCTGGACCGTCATAGAGATTATCCAGCGAAAGTTAGCCATTATCCCGTGGCATTCATTTGCTGCAAGCAATAGCGAAGGAACAAGTTATTTTTTTCTCACGTTCGTTTTCTGTTTTGTTCAATTTTTCGCCCGCGAACAAATATCTGTATTCAATATAGTTCCACCTTCGTGACCTGTATCAAAATTTCGTGACTTGGTAAGAAAATGGCATCACAACTCAGATGATAGCACTGACATCATTTTTAGACTAATATTATCGGTTCTCTGCTTCAGTTTGATATCAAGTTGTGTCATTCATCATCTGCTATGGCATTTATTTTTTGCTGCCCAGTTTCAAGGCCAGATGATCATGATTTTTTTTTTACTATTAAAGTTTGGATTTGTTGGTGCACATCAGTATTCTTCTCTAAACACCTTATTGAGCTATCTCTAATGTTGAGCATTGGACAGATTGTGAAAACTAAAGTCTGGGTAAATTGAAAATATAATTAAATCATCATTATTTTTTATCTTGTACACTAATACGACAGTGCAATGAAGAATAAGTATGTGAAAAAAAATATAATTCACTGCCCTTGAAAAACTAACAAAGGGGTCGCACGAACACAAATAAGTAGCCCAGCAAATATTTTTGTTTGATAATAACAGCTTTCTGTGATGAAATGGTCACTGAAAACTACCCATGCAAAACAGACTAAGGAGCTTAAAAGAAACTAAACATTCACTAGTCTTACATTGCAACCAGACATTGCCATATATATATATCTTACAGATACAACATAAAACATTTATATAACATACAAATTCTAAAGTATATTGCAAACAAGAAAATTATACAGAATTATGCACAAATGAAATACAAATGGCCTGTAACAGTTATTTAACCATTGAAAAGCAAACTTTTTCGTGTGACCAGCAACCCTAGCACACTTGTATAGTTCATGTCCAGTATTATTCAATTTCATTCTTGGTTAAGTTTATTACCTGCAGCCAGGCTTAATCAAACTTGATTCAAAAAAATACTTTCCTGTTTCCTTGTCTACAATATATAATATTAAGAGAGAGGATATAATGCTAGAAATATTATACAGTAGTACAATCAAAAGATAAGGCACCACCAGGAAATCGAGTTGGTCCCTACTATTCTTCAGTCATTTTCTTTTACTCTCTATAAGAGTTACACTTGTCCATTAATGGAGACATTTTGTGCCAGTTCCAATGGTTTCCATCTGAGAGCTGACTGTAGTTTGTGCAACACCAGACGTAAGCCTCTGACGATAAAAATACAATGTTACACAGTAGCTAGTCTTAATTTATTCTGCTTGCAATCAAATTAAAAGCTCGAGCTTCATGTTCATCCTCATATTCACGGTTATATGAACTCGCTTATCTTTCAATGTGTGTTCTAGTAGTCTTTTCAGGCCGGGCAGTCACTGTTGTCCTGAAAAATCATAATAACAAACACATTCTATGATTTAATTTTACAGTGGAATCTTTTTGGGGATTTGAAAGCATTCTGGTTCTGTGCAATACAAGCTTTAAATTTTATACCGCAGTGAAGCAGAATTTGTTGTTGTTTAATATATGTAGACTGTCACGCCAGATCATTCGAATGCAATTTTCTAGTAGAACTTTAAAAATAGTCAGAATCTTCTTGGATCGCGGCTCTGTAACCAAAAAAACATTTATTTACCACCTTAGTGTATATTAAAAAGAGAAAAATCGCTAAATTAGGCAACTGAAATCTTTTATTTTACTAACAAGCTAAACGCGTACAAAACAAAACCCTTGCTATCGCCATTAGGAAGTCGTCACTTCAGAAGTAAAACAGCCTTAAAGGTTCATAAAAGTTTCCTCTAAAAATTTGCATGCACAAACAAACTTTATAAAACCATTACATATTTTTTTTTGTAGCCGTTTATTATCATTTGGTTTTGACTGGCAAGATAAAACGCGACCTTCAACCTGTAATATTCGATATGCCATATTGACACTACATAAACATAAAAGGCGAAAAAACACCTTAACTTATAATTATAAGACTAACTATAAAATATCCCCTTAATATTTTCTGTATATTGCATAGAAATACGCCAAATATCAAATCTAATTATAGATTGCAGGGATCTAAAGGTATAAAGCAATAAAAGCGACCTACCTTCAGCTATACGGGGCCATTTTTCTTCCCCTGACAGCCGATCGAGAGCGCAAAGGCCAACTAGTTCTAGTCCTACTCCGCATCACAGCTGAACCAGAGAGTGCGTATGAGCGTTTCAACGCCCTAGCTTATTACACCCTGATCTGTATTGACTTCCAGTAGGTGTATGGAAGAATTTTGCCATTTATTTTTGTTTTTATCCTCGTAGAAGTTCTCAAAGATGCCTTGCGGACTAATTTTCAACAAGTTGAAGACTGGTGACTCCAGGCACTGGTTCAAGATCTCCCCGCAGTTCTTCTTAAATCCAAAGCCGACAGTGCCGCGAGGAAGTACGAAAAGGTCTTCAATGCTTCGAGAAAATGGGCTTCTCAGTTTAAAGAAATTGTCATATTTCCCGCTTCTAGTGTACACGTTTCATTGTTTTTTCTCAGCTTGATTCAAGAATCTGCTTCTTGCAGTACTATTGAAAAAGTCCATTATGGGCTCAAGTGGGTGCTTGATTTGGCAGGTCTATCCGACCCCTGTAGTTCCTCGTTAGTTTTACCTTTAAAAGAATCTGCTAAGAGGCTTCTCAGTATCCCCGTTAAAAAGAAAGAGCCTGAGACCCCCCAGGCTATGTAGCTTTTATTTGCTAAGTATGGATCGTCTTCAGCTAGTTTGTCTGATTTACGAGTTCTTCCTTTGTGCGTTTTAGGTTATGCAGGGTTTTTTCGTTTAACGAGTTGGTCCAGTTACGCAGGTGTGATTGTCAGTTTGAAGATTCTTTTATGAGGATCTTTGTTCATCGAAGTAAGACTGACTTTTACAGGGATGGGGGTTGGGTTGTTGTCGCTAAAACTTTCAAGCATACATGTCCTTATTTATTAGTTCAACGATATTTTGTGTCTGCTTCTTTTTCAGCAGACATCAAAGAGTTCATTTTTCGCCCTCTTGTTTTCCTTCGCGGTACCGGAGCTTACAAAATGCGCGGGTCTGTTTCTTTGTCTTATACTAGAGCGCGGGAGATAGTGCTTAGCGCTTTCAATTCCATCGGCCTTCCCAAGCAAGACTACGGTCTCCATAGCCTTAGGTCTGGAAGTGCCTCCGGTGCTGCTAATGCCGGATGCCTAACAGATAATTTAAAAGACGCGGCCGTTGGAAATCAGACAAGGCAAAAGACGGCTACATTAACGGGATAATATTCATTCATTGTTGTTGGTTTCGTAATCACTGGGTACTTAAATTTCCGTATTTCCCATTCTTTTAGTTCGTACACGGCTCGTGTTGACACACCCCAATTGAAGTTGCTTGTTACATGATAAATGTTTTATATTCGTTTGAGCGGGGTAGCGAATTAGAATATAAATGTATTTATCATGGGTTATGTAACCTTTTCTTTAGGGTGTCAAACAACATGGCTCAGACAATGCAAAAAGCGCAAAATTCACGAAGTTATGCGTTTTTCCGAGTTCAGCTAACTTTAAAAAAGTGTTCTTATAAAAAGACCGAATGTTTTAGTAAATGGAAATGTATTTACCATGGGTTGTCTGGGTTATGTAATTAGCGGTAGGCTTGTTTTCTTTTATATTCATTCGCGTCTTACGACCGTCCCTATGCCCTCAAAATTAAATACCCAGTGACCAGGGGTTTCTCTTAGACGTAGTGTTTTTGTATACTGCTGTATAAAAGGTTTAGCACGTTTTGTATGTTTACTGAATCATTGTTATACGAGCATAGTTTAGATCATTTTGTAGGGTTGTTTTTCTTGCTGTAATTTTTTATATTCCCGAGTTTTCATTCTGTTTGTTGTATTATTTCCATCCATTTTGTTGATGAAGACATAATGAAGAGGGTCGCTTACGGCTCGTGTTGAAACAAAACCCCAATTGAGGCTGCTTGTTACATGATATATGTTTTGTATTCGTTTGAGCGGGGTAGCGAGTTAGAATATAATTTATTTCACTGTTATGTTATCGCATTGCCACAAGGAGGAAATAACTCTATACACTTTGATATACTTTTATGTACTCTATCTAAGACTTCCTTTGCTTGGGCAAGATATTTAAACTGGAGAAAAACTGCTGATACCAGGTTACTAACCTTGCACAAAGCTCGATTATAACATTGCTTGCAAGAGGAACATTCACGACAATAAACCAAGTTTAGCTTCAACAGTGTTTTCTTAAACACCTGCAGCCAAACCGTGAAATGAACTCAGATGACTCTCACAGTCACCAAGAATAAATAAGCACGAATAACATTTTTTTTCAATGGTTAACGAATTGCCGAACTTGTGAGGCTATAGCTACAACATTTTAAGTTAATAGAAGGAAAATGTTAGTTATTGTGTTCATATTGTCTTTTCAGAAACACTTAAAACCGAAATAATTATCGAACCGTCTTCTTTTTTTAGAATACTCTCATAATTTTTACTCCTGCTAATTCTCGCAGCTTTCTAATTTTTGTAGAGCTGCTTAGCAACCCTAACATTCTGCCGACTCTGCGTTATTTGACTAAACTGGCGTCGATGGCACAACTAGAATAGATAAGGGGGAATCCTTCACAAAACGAATTCGTAAGAAAGGGTGAAAAATGCTGCACAGAAAATACGTGAGTGATCTTAATTTATAAACTTCTGCAAAAAGTTCCAGTATTCAGTTAGTTATGACATAACTTTTTCCTACCACACGCTTTTATAACCGTGTAATTAGTGGTATAGTCGCTAAAAGTGTTGTAGCTGTCGCAAAAAATGTTTAAAAAGTTAAAACAGAAAAAAACATATTTTAATATACGTATTCCTTCGGAAACTAGAGCACAACGGAAGCTTTTTTCTTTACTAATTACCTCGGTTTTGGGGATAAAAAATAACAAATTTAAGCGGCAGCGTAAGCTTCAATCAGGCTGTTATAATTAATATAACAAAAGCAGAAACATCCCACAAAAAGAAATTAAAATAGAGAATAGAAATTATTTTTCTTAAAAGTTTTTTTTATTTGTAAAATCAAATAAGTGCAATGAATGTATGAACTTAGGATATATAAAAATGCCTGAAACTGAAAATAAAACTAAGAGACACCTGCTAAAATGGTTTAATTGATAAAGCTAGAAGAAAATTTGTAAATTTTCTCAAACCTTAAGTGAGAGCCTTTGCTCACCTAGAAACAAAAGACCAAGGATATATAAGAGATCAAGCATTTCAGCTTCTTTCAAGAAACGGCAGAAAACTTCAGTTTCTGCCTTGTCCCCTCGGTACGGTAGATACAAACATATGTTTTGTAATTTGTTCGGTTAATATAAACACGTTTTTCATTTTCGATGTGTTAATAAGTTTCAGCAAATTTTTAATGTGGCAAAGAAACTGGAAATTTGACGCAAAAACAATAAAAATGGGACCCTTTTTTACCTCTTGGTTAGTTCTTTAATAAGAATTTCTCGTGCGTTTGAAATATATTATAAGGATCTCTAGCCATTTTAAACAACTATCTTTTACGTTTTAAACTGTGCGTTGAAATTGTTCTAGTTTGCATCTACTAATTGAGAGTTGGGCGTAATGAAAAGTTCCGCTGTTTGAATCAACAGTCAAATGTCAAACAACATTGCTCACACAATGTAAACGGCGCAGAATTTTTCACAAAGTTATGCATGTTACCAAGTTCAGATAGTTTTAAAAAATGTTTTTATAAAAGGACTGAATTTTCCATTAAATTGAAATAATTTCAGTGTTATGTTTTCGCATTGGCACGAGAAGGAAGTAATTCTAATAATATCCTTTGAGATACGTTCAGGTACTTTATCCGTTACTTTTTTTCTTGAGGAAGATATTTAATTAAACTAAAAAAGTGTTGATACCAGGATACTAACCTTGTACAAAGCGCGATTATAGCATTGCTTGCAGGAGAAACTTTCTCGACAATAAACCAAATCTAGCTTTAACAATGTTTTATTAAACATCTGCAGCCAAAGCCGAAAATGAACTCAAATGACGCTGACTGCTATTCAGAATAAATGAATACAGATAATGTTCTTTAATGGTGAACGAAATTGACGAGCCGGTGAGGCTACAACATTTTAAGTTAATCGAAAGTTAATATAAGTTCTTTATTCCTAACTGCTAATGTTATTCGGCCAAACTTGCCATGGGTCCCTTTATAAATGATTACGGAGATTGCCAAGTCCCCATTGAATTAGAAGCAAGTCGGTTTCCACAAACAGATAGCGAAGTCCCACTGACTGATTCCAATTTGACATGAAACTCGACTGACAGTTTAACTTTAAATAGTCGCACCAAAGATGGCGGTTGCTTATTGTTATTTACACTTTATTGGTAAATTATTGGATTATTAAAGTTTTGCTTAGCTACTTGTCTAACAGCTAAGGGTGATTTTGTCAGATCTTTCTCGTCAACAACTATACGAAATGCTTTCCCTTCTTCACATAAGGAAACCTAAATTCCATTGTTGGGAGCAAGATATTTTTCTTCTTAACACGCAGTTACGAAGCAAAGAAAGATCCTCTAGTGCAATTCGTTTCGTTTTCAAACTTTTGACAGATTTGCATTGATATGACACAATAGGCTGGTTTAGCAACAGAGTGGGAACATCAGTTGACGACTGTGCACGCAAATCAAACAATTGGCTTGACCAATGACAGAGAGGCAAATTGCGCACCGGAAGTCACGTTCAGTCCTTTAGGCGCGCTTTTTCAGTCGTCAACTGACGTTCCCGTTCGGTTGCTTAATCAGCTGTTACTGTGCTACATCAGCTGAAGCAAAAGTGTCAGCTTTAATTAATTTATTCATATTCACAAAATGCAGAGGCGAAAATTAGCCTCGGAAAATGTTGAGCACAAGAATAATAATGAGTTGCGAAAGTTCTTAAGAATATAAACCTTTTACATTTCTTTACAGACCCATATCGTCCATAGACTCTCCGGTGTCATGAAATAATTTAATGGGTGGGTTAACGTATCGCTCATAATCAAAACAATGTTTCTCCAACATAGACTAACATAAATGAATTTATACCAGTCAAAGTCCAAGGTTTCGCTTGAAAACTATATATGCAATTTGTACAGCATACTAGCTTTCCATAAAATACCAAAGATTAATATATTAACAAAATGTGTTATCGGAACGTTATTTAAGGAAAATGTTACTTATTGACATGATCTTTTCTTATTAAATCTTTTTTACGGCTCAAAGGATTTGGAAATTCCATGACTTAATGAATCAGTCAAGTTGTTGGAATAAACGTTGGCAGTTTACAATAGGTGTTTTTTTCCTGTTCCTGGTGTTCCTAACAATAAGATGATGTGATCCACGCAATTTTAACATTCTTTGTCGTAATACTTGCTAAATATTAAAACACCTCTGTTTAGCAATCAACTTCTATTAAGTGGTCACCAGACTACTTCCCGGGAGTGAGGTTTGACTGTATCGTTTCTTCTCAAAAAGACGATGAATAAATCAAGTAGCTATTTTAAAGAAAGTTAAGAATGAGGTGGATGATTTAGGACAAGTTTTATCAAGAACTCTACGGATTAGACCTGAAACTGGAGTTTAGCTAGCCTGAATTTCATCCGATTACCTCGAGTCGTTATTTCTTCCTCAGTCAGTAGAAAACGGCGACTCGAAGCAATGGGATGAAATTCAGGCTAGAGTTTAGCTGCCCACTTAAGAAATCTTAGGATACACCAGGTAAGGGAGAAAGAAACATGTATGCTACGTAGTTATATAAAAAGGGCCGGATAAGGACTAATAATGTGAGTACTTAGAGTTTTTTCCGTCCCTTTTTACCCCACACCTTCTCCATGGGGCCAAAAGTGAATTCATCGGGTGAATTTTCGATTGATCAAGCTTAAGAAGTGCTGCAATATTTACACAACAGCATCAACGGAATTGATTCTAAGGTAGAGAAAAATAGCTAAAATAGTGAAAATGCTAACTTTACACTAATGAAGTTATAAGGTCATAAATGACATTTCATCACTTTATTTGTTAGGCTGAATGGGTACAAAGTTTTTTTTAGCGATAACGTTAGCTTGTCACGTTCTTTGGGGGGTCGGAGGTTTTGTACGCCTACAAAACAGGGTTAAAAATGACTGAATGCAATTAAGGTTCTGGAAAGGTCGG